GCCCAAAAGCTAGTTCTGTGAGAAGATCAAACAAAATGATAAACCTCTAACCACAAAGACTAGGAAAAAAAGAGAAATTATGTATTTCATGTGAGTATATTTAACAACTGAGATGAAATCTACAAATTCCCTGTCGGGCATTAACTACCAAAGAAGAAATAGGAAACCTGAATAGAAATATGAAAGTTCTAGATCTATTAAAGAAATGAAATTCTTTTTTCTTTTTAGAAATATAATTCTTAGTTTAAAAAACCTGCCCACAATGGGATTTTCCTTTTTTTTTTTTTTAAGATTTATTTGTTTATTCGAGGGGAGAGGGGAGGAGGGGCAGAAGGTGAGGGAGAAAATCTCAGGCAGACTTCCCAATGAGTGCAGAGCCCCGCATGGGGCTCACTCTCACAACTCAAGACATTGTGCCCTGAGTGGAAACCAAGAGTCATATGCTCAATCAACTGAGCCACCCACGCATCCCAAAGGGATTTTCTTAATACAAAACCTAGGTCTTCCTAGGTATCTTTGCTGATAAATCCCATCAATCATTTAAAGAAAATTATTATCAGTTCTACACTAAACTTTTAGGAAACTGCAGATGAAGGAATATTTTTCTCACTTGTCCTATGATGTCAGCATTACCCTGATGCCAAAACTAAAGACATTACAAGAAAACTACAGAGCAATATTTCACATGACTGTTTATGTGAACAAAAATCCTTAATAAAACACTAGTAAACTGAACCCAGCCATATATAAAAAGAACAATACATGAGAGCCAAATGATGTTTATTCTAGTAATACAAGGTTGGTTTAACATTCGAAAATCAATCAATGAAGAACAAATCATTGTGATTCACCATGTTAACAGACTAAAGAAAAAAAAAAGCCATATGGTCATGTCAAAAGATCCAGAAAAAGAAGCATCTGACAAAATTCAACAGTATTATAAACATTCTCAACAAACCAGAAATAGAAGAGAACTCCCTCTATCTGAAAGGTTATCTATGAAGAACCTGCAGCTAACACTGTAATGGTGAAAGACTAAAGGTTTTCCCCCTGAGACTGAAAACAAGGCAAGTATATTCACTCTTACCTCATCTGTTCAACACTGTACTGAAGATTCTAGCCAGTGCAATGAGCCAGAAAAAGGAAAAAGAGGCATCCAGATTGAAAAGGAAGAAATAAAACTGTTTTTATTAACAGAAGACCTGATTGTTTATATTAGTTTATATTAGTGTGATATCGGTGCAAGGACAGACATAAACATCAGTGGAATGGAACAAGGATTCCAGAAAGAGACCCACATATACATGCCTAGTTGATTTTCAACAAATATGCCAACATAACGGAATGAAGACAGACTAGTCTTCAACAAATGGTTCTAGAACAACTGAGCGTACATATGCAAAACTATATATAAAAATTCATTTGATACAGGTCACATACTTAAATGTAAGGGCTAAACCTATAAAAATCTAGAAGAAAACGTAGGAAAAGACCTTTTGACTTTGGACTAGGGTAAGATTTCTTAAGTAAAATACAAAAAACAAAATCCATAAAAGAAAAAGCTGAGGGGCGCCTAGGTGGCTCAGTGGTTAAGCATCTGCCTTTGGCTCAGGTCATGATCCTAGCATCCTGGGATCGAGCCCCACACTGGACTCCTTGCCCAGCTGGAAGCCTGCTTCTCTCTCTTCCACTTCCCCTGTTTGTGCTCTCCCTCTCGCTGTCGCTGTCTGTCTGTCTCTCTCTCTCTCTCTCTCTCTCTCTCTGTGTCAAATAAATAAATAAATAAATAAATATATCTATCTTAAAAAAAAAAGACAAAAATTGATAAACTGGACTTCATCATGATTAAAAATTTCTGCTCTGTAAAAGACATTATTAAGAGAATAAAAAGACAAGCCATAGACTAGAAGAAAATATTTGCAAATCACCTGACAGAGGTCTTCTATCCACAATATGTAAAGTTGTCTTACAATTCAATAGGAAGACAACTAATCTAAAAAAAAGAGATTTGGACAAATCCTCAAAGATAAAAGAATGCCAAACATCAGAAAGGATGAATACCCAACTTTTGTTTCAACATGGACGGGACTGGAAGAGATTATGCTGAGTGAAATAATCAAGCAGAGAGAGTCAATTATCACATGGTTTTGCTTACCTGCGGAGCATAAGGAATAACACGGAGGGCACTGGGAGAAGGAGAGAAGTGAGTGGGGGAAATCGGAGGGGGAGACAGACCAAGAGAGACTGTGGAGTCTGAGAAACAAACTGAGGGTTTTGGAGGGGAGGGGAGTGGGGGGTTGGGTGAGCCTGGTGGTGGATATTAAGGAGGGCACGTATTGCATGGAGCACTGGGTGTGGCACATAAACAATGAATTTTGGAACACTGAAATAAAATAAAATCTATTAAAAAAAAGGCATGCCAGGGCGCCTGGGTGGCTCAGTGGGTTAAGCCTCTGCCGTCAGCTCAGGTCATGATCCCAGGGTCCTGGGATCAAGCCCCGCATCGGGCTCTCTGCTCAGCGGAGAGCCTGCTTCCCTCCTCTCTCTGCCTGCCTCTCTGCCTACTTGTGATCGCTCTCTCTCTGTCACATAAATAAGTCAAAAAATCTTTAAAAAAAAAAAAAAGAATGCCAAATAAGCACATGAAAATGAAACTGAATATCATTAGTCATTCGTAGAATGCAAATTAAAACCACAGTCAGGTATCACTATAAATTAGAATAGCTACAACTCAAAACACTGATGGCAGAGATGTGGAGCAACTGGAACTCTTCAACATTGATGGCAGGAAAGCAAAACAGCACAATTTGGAAAAGAGTTTGGCAATCTCCTATAGAGTTAAACATACACCCTGTATACAAATGTTTCTAGTGGCTTTCATTATAATACTCCAAACTAGAACTTACCCCAATGTCTTTTGCCTAGTGAGCAGATAAACACACTATGTTACATCCATACAACAGAATGCCATTCAGCAATAAAAAGGAACAAATGATACACACAACACACATGTGAATCTCAAATACATTATACCAAATGAAAGAGGTACCATCAAAAGGCTTCCCACTATGTGATTCCATTAATATACATTCTGGAGACACTCCAGGAACAGAAAACTGATCAGTGGTTGTCAGGGTCTGGGGGTCAGGGGAAGGGTTAACTACAAAGCAGTTAAAGGAAATTTCCCTGCTGATGTTGGAAATGTTCTGGTGGACTGTCATAGTGGTTGCTCAAATGTATGCATTTATCAATACCCCTATAACTACATCAAAATGTCAATTTAACTGCATTTAAATTAAACTTCAATAAATCTTACTTTTTAAAAAATTATGATATAGCCATACAATCGTATGTTATGCAATCATACGAATAAGATTACCATATATGCTAGTAAGAGGATAATCTCTAACATATATTGTTAGGAGCAAAATGCAAGATACAAAAAAATAAACATGATGCTCTATTTACGGTACCCCTGGCTGTCTCTGGGGCAGGGATCTGGAGCAGGAGTATATACCCTTTTGCACGTTTTCAGTTATTATTTCTTTAACCATATGCTTGTATTACTTTCAATTAGAAAAAGTTAAAAAAAAAAAAAAAAGACAAACCACGCCTATATCCAGGTCAAGAAAAACTCACGGGTGTCTGGCCCAGCAGACTGAGTCAAGTAAGCCTACAAAAACATTTATAAGAATATGCAACATAGCACCAGACACTTTAGAGGTGCTCAATAAATAGATGGGGGGAAAATATTGTTTGGAATAAAGTCAGAAGGTACACCCTGGACAAAGAGATTTCCATCGGGACAACAGATACTCAGCCAGCAGAGCCCCTGTTTTAGACAAGGAGCCAAGCTTGGGTTGCTCACATTAGAAAAAGAAAAGGAGCGGGGCACATGGGTGGCTTAGTCCGTTCAGCGTCTGTCTTTGGCTCAGATCATGATCTCAAGGTCCTGGGATAGAGCCCTGCATCGGACTCTCTGCTCAGGGGGAGTCTGCTTGTGCTTCTCCCTCTGTCCCTCCCCCCAACTCACGCATGTGCATGTGCTCTCTCAAATAAATAAATAAAATCTTAAAAAAAAAAAAGCAAAAAAAAAAAAAAAGCATAAAAACTGAATATTCTGGATTTACTTTCAGGCAAGCTGTTTCTCAGCATTCCTCTGCAGGCACGTTGTGTGCCCTAACCTCAGCCTGCTCAATGATGGGATGCAAACCATTCCCACAGTGAACAGATCACACCCCAAGAGGCCACTGCCACCTCCAGAGCTCCTCCCTGTGGCAAAAGTGCCACACCCCGACTCCCAGAGGGTCCTGGGCAGCCTTTCCTTTAGCCACTCTAAGTCAGACACTCCAAGAATTTTCCAAAGGAACAAAATGACCTTGATAGTCTCCCTGCACTCCGAACTGCAAAGTCCAAACTGGCATGTCATTAACCGTCTCTATACCACGGCTTCGCGGAAAGAAAACCCAAGAGGAAAAGGCAGATATGTAAGCAAGGCCCTTCAGCAATGGTGAAAGGAACTCCCAGGGTTTGGCATGGTTTCTTTCATCAAGCCTGGTATCAGGAAATCAGGAACGTCAGAATGCAAAATGGACAAAGAGAGAAGGTGCTAGAACAGCCAGCCTCTGAAACTCCTCTTTGTTTCCTGCTTTACTTGGATATGTTTCCCTGAAGCCACGTAGTTTTGACACGTGGCTCAGAGCCTCTGTGCTGGGTAGCCTTGTCTGGCTGCCACTGGGTACCCGGCTTCCAAGGAGCGGCCACGAAGGTTCAACCAGCTCCCTCCCCTCCAGAGAGACAGGCTGTGCTGGCAGGTGTAAGCTCCCAGAGGCAGGATGTGGGTAAGGTAGAGCAAGGGCAGAGAGTAGGACTGGCATAGGAACCACCCAAATAAGCCCTTTCCAGGCACCCACAGACTCTAGGACATAGAGGTGAGTTACAACAGGATCTCGCATTCTCAGAGCACATCCTGGGCTGCGGGAAGAAAGGGGAGCACTTACCGGGGAAAGATGGCAGTCATCAGGGCTGAAGCATAGCCAGGCTTGCAAGCTCCCTCTGAAAAGTTTGCGTACTTGGTAGCTAACTCAGCAGGCCTATGGGAAGAGAAGGAAAGTCACAGTTTGCCAGGCACTCAGCAATCAGTGGGGTATTAGTTCTTGAAGAGCTATAGGTTTTTTAAAACCTTGAATAAAGCTTCATTCTCAGCAATCAGGCTTTCAGCCCCTTTTCTACACTAACACTTCTGGGGGATGGTGTGGGGGGGGAGAAATCCTAAACCCAAAGGCCTAAAGGAATAAATAAATTAGCAACGCCCCTCTTACAGAATTTGGTAAAAGGAACTCATTGGGTTTTGCACAGATTCTTTGCAGCAAGCTTAATACCAAGGAAAGCAGGAACTCCATCCAGGTTCCCAGGCTGGGCAAGTGGAGTCCCAAGACCTAGGGGAAGAGCAGCCCGGGCTTTGACAGTCACAGGCACTGACCTCTTAGGCTTCATTGTGGGGCCTGACACGCCAGCCACGCCTGCCTCTATTCTCTCCACACAGACGTACTAGGACCCAGCCAGTGGGAACCACTCTCAGTGTCCTAAAGCCAAGTATATGTTGGGGCTACAGCTGTCATGATCAGATGTTTAGTTGTAGATGCTCTCCTGCTCTCCTATTTTCTGTGCGGGGAATGTTCTTCTTTGCCCTTTTCCACCTGGCTATGCCTACTGGTCCTCCACAACTAAGTTCAGGTCTCCACTCCACTGGGAGTAATCCCCTGACCCCCAGGTTGGGCTAAGTGCCTCCCCTGTGCCCTACAGTCCATCCCCCTGCCACCCACATTATATGCCATATTGTACTAGAATTGCTGGGAGTACGTCTCCCTCATTACCCTGTGAATTCCCAAAGCTGGAGTCTGATTTAACCCTGCATCTCCAGTCCCTTGTGAAGAGATGGGCCCACAGAAGATGTCTGTAATTTTCTGACAGAGCAACATGACTCTGCTACAATCTCACAAACTTATACCAGAAATAAGACAATCTCAGGAGCCCACAACCCAGAGTGTTTGCTGAATATCTGCAGGATATTTTTTCAGAGGACTTGTGTGTTTCAGCTCTGGTTTTGTGGCAGCAACTATAGTCAAATCCCTTCATATCTTTGGGCTTCGATGTCCTTATGTGTTCCCTGTGGGGCTGGAGTCACTGCCCCGCCACCAAGAATTCTTGCCAGTGCAGTCCCGAGAAAACCACAGTGGAAGAAGAGGACACATCAGTGGCTGCGAGGCTGGAGGCCCTGCGTGCTGGGGCACCTGAGGGAGCCCTGGCAGGCTGCCAGTTCCCAGGCCCAAACCCCCTCCCCTCGCCTCCACCCTTGGGCCCGCTGCCAACACACTGATGCCCAGCTGCTCCACCGAGCTGGAGCCCCATGGTAAGTCTCCCCTCCGGGCTGCCTTCTGCAGGAACTGGGTGGGGCAGGTCTGGGGGGAAGGGAGCTGGCGCCTGAACTGGAGAGCCAGGAATGATGATGCCACCGCTAGCGTGTGTCATGTGTGATTCACTCATGTGCCCTTATGGGTCTAGCCCAGGGCCTGGCACAGAGTAACTGCTCACTGAATTTAGACAAACTCAGCTGTATCCATGTGCAATTTCTTCCAGAAGTCTACTTTTTTTTTTTATACAGCCTTTCCTACCAATGAAATGTGAAGCCAGAAATGCAGATGCAAATGCCCAGTGCTAAGCCAGCGCTGAGACTTTATTTGGTAGGCAAAGGAGAGTCAAAGGTTTAACAAGAGAATTTACGTAACTATTTTCTTATGTAAGCAACTGTATTTCCGAAACGAAATCTAAACTCTAGCACAATCGATGACCTTGCAGGAAGCTCTCAGACAAGGCACAGTGACTGAAAGATTTTTTTTTTTTTCAGGTCTTCAACAGTCATGTGAGTAGGTCCTCTTAGTAATTAACTTACACAGGAGCTCAGAAAGATAGAGACTTATCCAAGATCCTACAGCTAGGGAAGTGGCAGACAGCAGGGCAGGAGCTCCCAGCATGGCACCACCACAGCACGGACCATGGTAAGTGCCATCACACAGGGAAGCACCGAGTCCGCGGGCAGCACGGAAATGATGAGCGCTGGTAGAGAGGGGTAGAGAAGAAAGTCAAGAAGGCCTCACACCGCTCTTTGAAAGTGTGTAGACAAGCAGTGAGGTGTAGTGAGTTCCTCCTACCCATGCCTCCCAACCCCCTGCCATCTGTGTGCCTGCCTTGTAACCATTCCTGTGTTCTTTCTCAGTTCCAGAAGGTCTCACACTGAAGACGAAAGGAGGACTGCAGTTGCCCCTCAAACACACCACCCCACAGAAATGTATACACGACATGAGACAAGCCTTTGGCCACATCTTTCCTCTGTCTGGTTTACACTGTCAACCTCTGGCGAGATGCTTCAGGAATAAGGGCCATGGGCGGTCCCAGGTCTGCAGACTCAGGTCATCTATCGTGGAGAAGAGGGGCCACTGGCCAGCTGGAGCACAGGGAAGCCAGAACCCAGCCGGGAAGGCTCTTCCCATGAGAGCGCAAGGTAGCCCAACGTCGAGGATGAGCAGTTCTAAATCAACCCCCATTTAAAAGGCGACAGTAAGTTTTAGATCATACAGCCCCAAGGACAGTGGGCCAGGTCAAGTTATTACCAAATTAAAATGCCTTAGCAGTGGCCTCCTGACTACCCCCAGGGAGAGAAGAATAGGGGGAGTGTTGGGGATTCTGAGTCATACAGCAGGCTGGGACCTCTGGGGCAGTTAGCGGTCAAAACCACCGAGATTAACAGTCGCCAACTCCCTCCGGCCAGAATAGTTAGTTTCTCTAAGGCACTCACACTCCAAATGCCAGGAGGCCCCCACAGATGTCTGATCAGATCATTCAGCCCTTGTTCTTCTCATACTCTCCAGCTGGCCTTTCATTTTGGGAGATTTAGCATTTCAAGCAGTAAGAGCACCCATTGTCCTGCAAACGTGACTACCAAGCCCCTGGGGTGAAGAGCTCAAACCCCTGTACTCAAGAGGAAAGCCAGGCCAGGCGGACAGACTGGAACCCAAGAGAAGGAACCACACTTCCACTCCCCTGCCTCACCCGGCAGCACTGAGTTTAAGGATCAGGCCGTGCAGAGGTTCTAAGTGGGAAGAGCACGGGATCTGCAACGAGACACTTTCCCGGAGGTCACTGGCAAGTTGTGTGACCTTGGGCAAATGATGGAAAATCTGATTCTCATCTTGCTCATCTGCAAATTGGAACCACTCAGTTCCCAGGGATCTTGGGAGGATGTGGTGAGAAAGCACCCTTGGAGGGACCGGCCGTCCCCTAGAGCATCACACACGGTTATGTGAAACGCGAGGTGGCAGAGGCAGGCATCCAGATCACGGAGGCTCCGAATGCCTCGCTCCGTCCGGTTTGGATTCTGTGATAAGGGTGCGTCCCTGGAGGATGCCCAGTGGGAGAGTGCATTTAGGGATCAATGCTGGGGAGGTAAGGAAAGACTGGAAGGAGCAGTCCATGAGACAGAACACTAATCTAGAGAGAGTGAGTGGTCCCTCCGTTGCCAAAGGCCAGGAGTGTTTCGAGGAGGACACAGGAACCACCTGCATGGAACACAGTGGAAGGCCTGGCAAGGTGTGGCCACTGGCTGGACAGCCGGCTTTGGCAACACGGAGGTGACTCCTAACCTTGAAAGAGCTGGTTCACTGGAGAGTGGGGGTGAAAGGCTGATTTCACTGGGTTTAAGGGAAAACAGAACGAGTGGAGTCGCAGAATAGAGACTACTGTTTTTGCTCTAAGGGGAGACAGAGAAATGCGGCAACAGATGAAGGGAGGAAGCAGGCAAAGATGTTTTTTGAGGTTAGGAGACAGTTTAGCATGTTTGTAATTTGGCTGGAATAAGAAGGCAACTCCTGATGCGTCAAGAGACAGGACAGCTATAGGACAAATGTCCTTGAGGAGGTAGGGAAGGGGGAGGAGGGGGACAGACCTAATACAAAAGTAGGAGGGCTGGCCGTCCTCTGCTGGCCCCTCCCCACCCTGGCCAGCAACTGCCTAGTCACCTTTGCACCCATTTCCCTCCCCAGCAGAACCAACCCACCTGCCTACAGACCTCATTTCACCCAGCCTACTTTGACCTTAGCTGGCTCACTTGTTGCCATGCTCCTTCCTGCCCCCTCCCCTCCATCCTGCTCATTCATTCGTTCATGCATTCACTCAACAAACATTTGGAGGTGAGTCACTCTGCTCGGACTTGTGTCCTGACTCCACCCTTCCTAGCTGCATGATTTTGGCCACGCTATGGATTTGCTCTGTGCCTTCATGCCCACATCTTTAAAAACTGGGATGGTACTCACACAACCGTCCTGAGGGTTAGGGTGAGAATAAAGTGCTGTTAAGTAACTGAAATTAAAATATAAACTTCAAAAAAAAATAAGCAAACAAACAAAAAAGACACAACCAAAAAAATACAAAAACAGCAACAACAACAACACACACACAACAACAACAAAAAATAAACTGCATCCAGGTGTTTGTGTGGCTTAATAGTTCATTTGTTTTTGTCACTGAATATTATTTAATTGTATGGATACACTTTGTATATCCATTCACCTTGACAGATATCTTGGCTCCTTCCAGTTTTTGATGATTTTGAATAAAATTGCTAACATTACTTATTTTAAAAAAGAGAGAGAATAAAGTGCTTAGTATAATAGCTGGCACTTAGTTTTCTCTCAATACATGCTCACTGTAACAGCCTTGTTGTGCGACACTGGCCTGGGATTAGGGACACAATAATGGCTAGGATCTGGTTCTGGCCCACCACCAGTTACACCAAAGAGTAAATGTCCCTTTAAATGAGCCTTCTATCCTAGACCATGAAAACTGAGCCTGGTGCAGAGCACCTAGGCACCATGCATAGCACAGAGTACAGAAGCACCCAACAAAATGTTTGTCGGTGTGAACTCAACTGGTTACCTTGACTAGTTGGAAGGTTAATTAGCAGAAAGTGTGGGGGAGACGTGGTGATGGCTGTGAGAAATGGAGATGGGCCTGTGAGGATTCTTCCTGGGCCTCTAAA